AACATCCCATAATTTCCCTTTTGGTCCTTCTCAGGAATGTTCAAGAATCCCAGAATTCCTAGCCTGTAGTTGAATGTCACGACAATGACGTCATTATAGCCTGCTAAAACGTGAGCTGGATATTCAGTAGAGGAACCAATGGAAAAGCCACGGTATTTAGCAAAGGAACGGCTGGCGAAGTCACCGCCGTGAATCCACACCATCACCGCAAAGAAAGTATAGGATGGACAAAACCAACCTGGACAAGGTAATACAAAATGTACAACACATCGGATCTATAAAACAGGAGTACACGGAGCCGCTCGACAAAATACCCGCTCTTCATGCCGAATTTGAGCTAGCTGGGAAAAATTACATTGGCTAATTAGCTGGCTGGAAAATCTAAATGAGCGCCTCGCTAACTGAAAATGTGGAAAATTTATGCCGGTTCTGGCTGGATAAAAAGGTATATTCTTTTTTCTCCTGGCAATCGCACTGAAATTTTTTTTTCATGGATATCAGAGTGAGCGAAGCAAGTAAGTGTGCGTGAAAATCACCCCACGTGAGCTGTCGAAAAGACGCTCAAATGAAAACTTTTGCCAGTAAAAACGGAAATTTGTTTGGGTGTGTCATCAAAACGTTCTGCTGTGAATGCCTTGTAATAGATACACGTACTGTGAGAAAATAACACAGTTGAGTCAAACACATTTGGTTTCGCTTACAGCTTCATGTTACGCAAACTACTGCCATATGGTTGTTTACCCAGAACTAGAACGATTTCAAGAAATTCACTTAAAGGACATGACCAGAGTTCTTCGTCTAGAGTAGAACTGAGCTTTAAGAAGTTGCCATTTTCAAGTTCCAAGAATCCCGACTTTCAAAACGAAAATCCCCGTTTTTAGGGGAGGGGGCGTCTGCACACAGGCTAACTAATTACCAAAGCCAATCTAATATAATAATAATAATATAATTCATTTATATAGCACTATTAATACTAATTATTCATAGCGCTTTACAATTTTAAACCTTATACTAACTATAAAATAGTTTTTATAATTTCATCCTACCATTCTAATTTCTACAATTATATATAATTAAAAAATAATTACTGATTGCAACTTACACACTACAAAAAAAGTAGAAAACAAAAGAAAATACATAATAGTATGCAAAATAATAAAGCAAATGCCCATCTAAAGATAGGCCATTTTAAAAAGCATTATCTTCAGTCCTGATTTAAATGCTTGTATATTTGACGACATGCGCAACTGAAAAGGCAGTTCATTCCATAGCTTAGGAGCGCAGACAGAAAATGCTCTGTTGCCATAGGTAACAGTTCTGGATTTAGGAACACTAAGCAGATGTTGAGACTGAGATCTAAGATTGCCGGTATATTTAGGCTTATTAAGTAGCTCAGATATGTATTCAGGAGATAAATCATTAAGTGCTTTGTAAGTCAGCAGTAGCACTTTAAACCTTATACGAAAGGAAACAGGGAGCCAGTGTAGTCTAACTAGAACGGGAGTTATATGAGCATATTTACAAGTAAAAGTTATAATGCGAGCCGCAGTATTTAGTACTGAAAACCAACACTGATGTGCACAGAATTTAAAAATAGACTATTCTGGCTGGGCAGTGGGCTGGTCTCAGTAGGAGAGGATGCTGGGAACGAGGTTGAAACTGAGGCTTGGGAACCTGGAATTTCGATCCATTACTAAAAACCTGTCCCTAAAGCAACTAATAAATGGTATTTAAATGGGCATGTGGTCATCAACCACTCTTAGATAGGTGGGGGGCCTGGTCTCCAAAACAATTTTTTTCAGTTTGGTCTAAAAAAGGGGGATGGCTCTCCTGGATCCGCCACTGAAATGATTTCTTATGTCCGGATTGAAATCCCCATTATGACTTTCTTAATTAAGTGAAATTAAACCATCTTTAACATCTAATCATCACAGCTACTGAAAACATCAGGTGCTAATGTTTAATCGTCTAGGAAAAATCCGAGCAAAAAACCCCACAAGGGTTCATATCCAACCATTCCTCCCCCCCCCCCCCCCCCCCCCC